TTTTGGAACCAAATGTTCTTAGATCCTTATTTGGTACCTAATTGAGATGAAACCAGAGCCATTAGATATATCATTAAATTATCTATGTATGGATACTTAGATCACCTTAATTTGAGGTTTGAGCTTAAAATTAGATGTCATATAAGTTAGATTCAATTGCTATCATATATGTGTTGTAAGGGGGTGTGTGTCATGGATGAATGTCTTATTAGCCACAGTGAACATGTCATTTAGGCTTGGCTGTAGTGGATTGATCTATTAGCTATAGTGAGTAGTCTCTTTACCATAGGCCATAATGGATGTGCTAAGAATTGTTGTAATGAGTTTTTTGCCCTTGTTTAGCTTGTTTTAATGCTCAACCTATTTTTCCCATATTTCCGCAAAACCTTTTATACTTTGATTTTAAATGCTTACAAGAGCCTTAAATTGTAACCTCTTTATTTATTTATTTTAGGATCCCAACTACTCAAAAGTGTTTTACAAAAGTGTGGCCAAGGTTGATCCTTCTACCTATGCTTTGGTTCTTAATTGAATTGTTTAGCTTTAAAATTTAGGTTTTAATGTAGATAATGATGGGAGTCATTACAGGTGGAGTCTAAAGAGGGTGAGCGTGCTGCGTGAACTTGCAAACTCTAAGATGTTGATCCTACCATTTCCATTTCTCTCAATTGACTTGAACAATGACCGGATATGTCTCTTCTCTTTCTCTAATAACTTTCACACAAATCTTTTATAGTAATCATGATCTCCTTCATCAATCCATCGCCGTTCACTTGGGTTTGAGATTATGGTTTTTTGATTATGTTTTGTTGTTTTTTGTTGATGCCCACAAAATTATATATAGGTCCCATAGGGTAGATTTTTTATAAATAGGTCTCATGGGACAATATTGCTTTTGTACTCTAATTTTAAATTATACTTAGGTCTCAAGAAACTTGATTGTGGCTTCTAAATTTTGCAAGATTTATTTATAAAAAAGTCTGCTCCATAGGACTTATACGAAATTTTTCTTATTAACATGAACTTTTCACAAGTAGGGTGATCATACCCGTTCCTATCTCAATTGGCTTGATTCCATCCAAAAAAAAAGACAGGACTTTGCAAGAGAAGACAAAAATATGTTCAAGACAAGATGAAATACATAATCATCATCAGAACGTCCCATCCCCATCTTAAGTATATTATTATTTTTTATTAATATTTAATACTTTATTTAATACTTAGGAGGGGAAAACAATTAACAAAAGCAGGCCATGTCACACTCGAACTATAGAAATTGGAATTTGACATTTATTAAAGATGTTTTAGTAAATTCAACAAATCACATGACATTTGGCTTCAATTAGGGCCAAAATGGTCATTTTAGCTTTTTTTGACCTTTTTCTTTTCCCCCTCTTCCAGTAAATATTTTTTTCCAAAGAGAAAATATTAATTAACAGCATGCAAATTGGTACATCTTATGGGTGGTTTATATATATATATATATATATATATGATCGTTGCATGAGCTTACATCTGGTGAACCCAATATGCTGCAAGTCAATCTTTGTGTTTCTTCAAATTTTCCAATATGTAGTAAGGCTAGATAATTATTGGCGGCTTGCAATGCTAAAAGTAACCTAATATCATATAATTGCAATAACGAAAATCATACAAAAGTTACAAAGAAGGCATAATATCTTTTTCATGGTAAAATTTTGCTTTTTGAGCTGATGATTTTTTGAACTAATGATTTATTTTTATACTTTAAATATCTTTTTATGGTATAATATTTAAAATAATTTTTGGAGCTTTTGATATCAAAGTTGAAGCATTCTATTGCCAAAGAATTTAAAAAAAAAACCTTCAATTAATTTTTTTTTTAAAAAAACTATGCGAAGCATGCCAATGGTTACACATAAACTTCGGCTAATGACTGCAAGTAAAATTGACAAGTGACTGAGTCTATGTTTGGAAAGCAGTTTGTAAAACATTGTTTTGCTCAAGCACATAATGGAGAAATAAGATTCAAGTTGTGTTAGCTCAAATTTAGGGTCTTTCCTCAAATGGGGGCTTAGATATAAGCAAGAACGAATCTATGACTTCTCATTTATAAGAGAGCTTGCATGCCATTAGATTATAAGGTTATTGACAAATAAACAAATTTCAAGTTGCATCTTTTTTTACATAAATTTGAGTCTTGCAAATGAAAATTCTAACGCGCACTACTTTAATCCTGCTTAAAGTGTAGAGGTTAAAAATAAGATGAAATTATTGAATTGTCCTTTACAGTCATATCAAACTCTAATTATTATTATTTCTTTCAAATTTCGTCAACTTTTTTTGGTTTCCTATGTTATCCTCACAATTGGCAGTCATGAAATTAATCCTTTAAAGCATCTGATGGCCATTTAAGAAATTGTCTTATTCTAAACAATACTTTTCTCTATGCACTTTTCAAAACCAAACCTGAACTAATATTTAAGGGGTTTGGACTACTACCATTCATGCCACATCTAGTTGATCACATTTAGTTAACTTGTTAATGTTTGCAAGGGCAAGGACCGGTCAAGATTTGCAAGTATAGGAAGTTTAAAATAAATTTAAGCGAGGTTGTGCAAAAAATTCAAGGAAATTATATAATACTTTCTCTAGTCCTATTTATAGGACAGAAAGAGAAGAATTTTTTTAATCTTATTTATAAATCATGTTATTAATTTTTCATTATAAAATTCCTCTTTTACCCTTCATTAAATGTTGGAAAGAGAAAATATATTATTAAAGTATGTATATTTAATAGAGATAAAATTGATAACTTATTAAATTTTAAGACAGATTTAATGAGTTTTAAAGTATTCTTTAATACTCGTAAAACATGTTGGAAATGACTTATAAATAGGATTAGAAATACTTGGACAAAGAAGTTTTTCTAACTAGCATATTAAAAGAAAAATTTTATTCATAATGGTTGGGTTGGATGTAATAAATTCGATTTTGAAGAGATTGAATTGAACCCACAAAATTCCATTTTAATTATTAAAAACTGAGATAATTGGTAAAAATTTTGTCTGGATCGGATCAGTTCAAGTGATAATTATAATTGAAAATTTTATTATATAATAATAAAAAAGAATATATTTCACTGAAATTCTTGGCGATAATTTGTTTTAAAAAAGGAAAACTGTAGAAACGGTACAAGTTAATACACAGTGTTTATTAATTAAAAAGAAAAAAGAAAAATACAGTTGTGTCATTGTGGTCCTTCGTCTAAAATAAATAACGCAATTGATTATACCTAATATCTACCTAAGTGTATAAAATCATAATGACTTAAAAGTATAAGAAATTACACTTTTTGCTTTCTGACAAGCCAACTCAAGCTGTCGTTTATGCTTTCATCCACCAATTTTAAGTGCGATTAATCACTCAAAATAATATTATTCAGATTTTGCAGCAGACGCCTAATTAAATAATTTAATTAATAATTTGGACAAACCTTATTTGATGCTCTTCACCACATGCTCTTGTCTAAATGGGCCATCACTCTATGTAATATTTGATTCTCAACTGTTTAATTTAATATCACTGTTCTTATATATATACACACACAAACACAAAATTATTTTATTTTTATGTCAGACACTTATTTTAGTATTCAAGTCATAATTGATATTTTATGAGTTTTTCATCAGTAATACCATTGAACTTATTTTCGTTTCAGTCTCGTCATTAGATGCATATGTTATCACTTTAAAAGAAGAGTAAAATAGAATAATTTTCTGGCAAAAAAACAGAATAAATATTATATATATATATATATATATATATATATATGAATCCCATTTCAATAACTAAACAATAATTTTGACATGCACAAACAAAATGAAAAAAATATATTTTTTTCATCATCTGGTAAGCATAATAAAAAAAATTAATATGTATCTAAAGTATTTTAGTTATATAATGTTGAACTTTATAAAAAAATATTAATTTCAGTATATTTTGATCATTTAAAAAAAATGAATACACATGAATTGCACTCATGGTTTTTAAGTCCTCATCTCCTATTGGGGATAAGTGCATACTGCATAGTATACTCTATTTCTTACACTCAAAAATAAAGTAACACACACATTTATTAATATTATTTAATATTTAATATTTCTGATAACAACTATTGGCATTTTTGTTAGCGACTAAACTAGTAAAGATTCAAATATTGTTAAGTTAAAAACAGAATAATTCTCCCAACATAATTATACAAGTTTGGAACTCAAATTTTTTTTTCTTCAAAGACATATATTATCTTTCACTTAATCCAATCATAGGTTATCCTTGAGTATTTTTATTTAAAGATGTGAGAATATTCTTTATTCATGAAAATATTTTCAAATTTTTTTAATTACATTTAGATAAAATCATAACATTTCCAATTTTCTTTGACACATATCAAATCAAATGTGGGCTTAAATGTTATAATAATAATAACAATAATAGTAGATGGGCATAATTCATAATTCATGGCCACACGGTTGAGAAATGAAACAAAAATAAGACATAAGGGTGCAATAACTGGACAAGATTAGTGTCAATGTCAAAGAAAGGTCCATACTGGACCAGTTAACTTGTGGGCCTCTCCTGCATCCTAGAAAATATTAATTATTAATTAATAATAATTAATGATAACCCCTCCTCTTATTACTCCTTAATCAAATCTTAAAAAGATTAGTTCATTGCCCTCTGAATTGACCTCCCACTCCCATCACCAGACCTATCCAAATCAAAACAATCATTAATTATTCTCCCATCGTTCCTTTTCCTAAATCATTTGTTAATCAATGAAAATCCCCATTATCAACGTCCTAGTCCGAGCCAAGATCCCAGCCCGAGGTGACGTGTCAGAGTGTCATTGGTGGGAAAATACGGACGGTGGAGATCTGAGATGATGGGTTCGATCGACGGCAGAGATTGGGTAGATAAATGGGAAACCTGGACTGGAAGCATGAAGCTGGACCCTCCGAGAAAACCTCTCACTGGAAGTGACTTGCTTCGCTACTCCCGAGGCTTCTGTCTCTAAAACAGCACAGCGTGAGGGGAGAGAGAGAGAGAGAGATAGTTATGGTGGAAAGAGGAATATAAAATCAACACGGTTCGCCTCAGAAGCCACCTCTGTCCAAGGAGATCACGCAACAAAGGGGCACACATACACCTGTTTCCATCTCTCTTCTTTCTTCTTTCTCCGCTGCTTCGTCGTTTTTGCGATACTCTTCCTCGTTCTACTTCTGCTTCGCTTCTGGGTTGAGCTCTGTTTGATGTGGGGTGGTGGGTGGTGGTGGTGGTGGTGAGTTGGGTTGGGATTGGGATCCAAGGAATCGAATTGGCGGATTGGGGGGAATATGGATCCAGGAGCTATGATGAACGAGGGTTCATTTGCGAATGGTGGAGCTAATACGGCGCCGTATAACCTGGCCGATATCTGGCAGCTCCCGATGAATGTCGGTGCGGGTCTCGGGGATTCCGGAGGCGGGTTGGGGCTGAGGAGGCCGCAGTTTGGGCATAATTTGGGGCCGCCGCTGTTCGGTGATTTTCCGGGTCATACGAATCGGGATGTACCCAGCAATGATCAAGTCCGCTCGGAGCAGAGAGGGAATAATAATAATAATAATAATAATAATAATCATGGAGTCAACAATAGGAAGCGACATGATTCCGAGGATGAGTCCACCAAAGGCGTCTCCACCAGTAATGGCGGCAATGGCGTGGTATTCTATTTCCCCTATTCATAAATTGTTTTGAAAAATGAATCTATCTGTAATGAGAGAGCTCGAACGGATCTGTTTAAGCGTTTGTTCAAATCGAGTCTTGTTAATTTCTTCTGTTTTTACTGTGACTAATTAAAGAGTGACGAATTCTGAACTTGAACTGAGCAGAATGATGGTGGTGAAGGAAAACGGCTTAAAGCTTTAGGGAATAGGAATGAGAGTCGAGAGACTAAAGCTGAAGCAGAGCCCAGTTCAGGAAAGCCTGCGGAGCAAAATAACCAGCTACCTCCGGAGCCTCCTAAGCAAGATTACATTCATGTTCGAGCGAGAAGAGGTCAAGCTACTGATAGCCACAGTCTAGCAGAAAGAGTAATTGATTCCTACCCCCTTACTTGCTTGTTTTAGATACTTATTCTATTCAATGAAATAATAATTGGTACCAATTTCCCAAATTGCTTGCCTCTTCAACTTTAGTTGTTCAAAATTAGTGGGTGTACGTACTAATTAGTTACTGTATAACAAACTTCTTGTACTTCAGTTATTTTGTCAAGTGAAGTGATTTAAAGATGTTCAAGGAATTAGTAATTCATTGTGAGTTCCTGAACTAACTCGTTCGCACTCACTATTCTTCAAGTTAATTGCGCCGAACAATTTAAATATTAAATTGTCAATATTCTTCTTCTTCTTCTTCTTCTTCTTTTTTAACTGGCTGTGAAGATTATTATCTTGATTTTGAAAGAAAACAGAGTTCTTGACTAAGTTTTTCTATTTTGAAAATTGATGTACAGGCTAGAAGGGAGAAGATAAGTGAGAGGATGAAAATTCTTCAGGATTTGGTCCCTGGTTGTAATAAGGTACTATTTGGCTACTAGTTGATTTTTTACTTCATGCACTATTTCAACTTGAAGCAAGCAGCCACAGCAATAAATAAACTGGATTGCATAAAAGGAAAAGAATTAAATTATCCTTGAATATTAGTGTTCCTACATGTATACTAACATGACAGTGTTTCTAAGACTGGTGAAAATCATCTCTTATGATTGGTGTTATGGACATGTTCTCTAGGAAGTTTTGAACAAAGATACTTGTTTGTATTCAGGTTATTGGGAAGGCACTTGTCCTTGATGAGATTATAAATTATATCCAATCACTACAGCGCCAAGTTGAGGTATGAGTCCTTCTTTTTTTTTTTTTTTATGTTGATTCGTGGACTAATTTTATTATATAGAAAAGTTATTTCCAAACTTAAAGTTGAACTTGAGACTTGTGACATTCTGGCTGTCACAGTTCCTGTCTATGAAACTTGAAGCTGTAAATTCAAGAATGAACCCTGGCATCGAAGTCTTTCCTCCTAAAGATGTAAGTTCTTAATTGCTCCGATAGTCTATTGGCTCGAATTTTCATTGTTTTCATTTTAAATTCATTGGTATTTTTGCATTATTCATTTCTTCAATTGCAATTATATTAGGGTTTTTGTTTCTGCTCTCCCCACCTATCTTGTTAGTTTAAAAGCAGATGATAAAAGTGAGTAAGAACCTATGAAGCACCAGTTAAAAACGAAGTTATCTTGTTTTCGATGTTTCCGATTCTTCTATTAAACATGACATCATACTTCAAATCAACATCTGTGCTTCTGAGATAATAATCCTCAATCTTTGAAAATACAAGATTAAGAAAATAGGAAGTGTAGAAACAAGCTGAAATCAACTATCGAGAATGAACTGCAAAGTTCAATTATTCATTCATGGTATTATTACATGATCTTACCTCTTAATGACTCATAAACTTTTCTTGCAGTTTGGTCCACAATCATTTGAAACAGCTGGCATGGCATTTGGCTCACAAGCTACAAGAGAGTATAGCCGGGGTTCGTCGCCGGAGTGGTTACATATGCAGGTAGGTGGTGGTTTTGAAAGAACGTCTTAATCCATGAGAAATCCCTTGTGCAACACCTGCTAATAAATGCATAAAGGGGTGTATAGATATATCTATACCCTTCTTCAATGGCTGCCAGAAAAAATATACCCAAGATATTAAGTCGAATGAATAGACACCTCTTGATTCCCATTTCCTACACAAGGCATATGGAAGCTGTTATTGTTTTGCAACTGGACTGCTTTTAAGTTACTATCTGTGCATCCCAAGTTGTTCTTCCTGTGTTGGAAAATGAATTCATTTGCTCAAATATGAAGCATAATAGTGAACTATAAGTATAGGTTTTCAATGCTAATGCTCAACGTAACGCCTGAAATGAGTATTATTCTTGTAAAAGGATGATGATGCATGTTTATCCTGAATGCATAATGCTTATATGTTGTGTAATAGTCTCAACATTGATGTCTGTTTGTGAAGCTATGTTGAATAAATTACGCAAACATGCTGTTGTTTTAATTTTGTTCTTTTTTTGGCTTTTTTTTGTTTTTTGGTTTATTTTGAGGGAGGTCCCTATGAGTGGATCAATAGATAAAGTATTTAGTATTGATAGTATGTCTTACGAGTAAGGTTTGCTTGGAAGTAAATTCGATTGTAAACTTTAAGTTAAACATAAATATATTTGACCAACAGTAATAGTATAGAGTAGAAAATAAAATTACTGTATTCTTTAAGGCTTGATAGGACTTGAATCTAAATTAATCCATGGTGACCAGATATTGGATCATAAAATTACATGTTTTATGATTAATTTGATTTACCCAGGTTCTAAATTTTTTCTGTTATAATATCTCGTAATTGTCGTGAAGAAGACTATGCTACTTATTTTATGGAACTAAATTCAGACATTCATCCGTGCAAGAACTTCTGAATAAATCTAGTCAACCATGGGTCAACACCTTGGTTGTTCCACTCTTCTAAGCATTAGATTAGATTGATCGATTCAAACTAGTGTTCAGTTTGGACATGAGGGAAAACCAAGCAATTTGAGAATCACTTATTTTTCAAAAAATTAATTCATATTTTTAAATTATAACTTATGTTTATTTGTGCCAGATAAACATGAAAAAAAGGGGGAAATGAATAAACACGTGAGTTGCGCGCCCACATAGATATATTTATATATATTCTAAAACTATAAGTCATGAATTTTGAAATAAGTACATAAATTTTAGATGAAGGTATTGGAGTATTGATAGACATTGTCTTCTTTATTATATGTTATTTTTTTGAATTTAAATATTGTTTACATTATTATGGATGATTGTTTCTTTTTATTTTAAGTATATGTTATTTAAAATATATTAATTTATTGATAATCGATTCCACCACAATTCAACTATGATGTGATTATTGAATTATAAATTAGTATCTCAATTAATTTAATAATTGATTTGATTTTCATAATATTGGTTACTACAAACAACTTGAAATCATATCCTAAGTTCTCATGAAAAATTAAACAACCCATCTAATTAAAAAAGGTTGAAGCTCAGGAATCTAACAATTTTTTTTAATAAAAGGCCACAAAAAATCGTGTGAATAAACACCTTAAATCATATTAGTATATAAAAGATTTCTATGACCAAGTGGTGGGATATTAAAAATATGATTAAATTATCAATAAGAGCTTAGTATACCATTCAGTAAGCATAATTATTTATCTCTTTAAAGACATCAGTTAGAGAATGATTTGTAAAAAATTCATTACAGATTAGCGTGAATATTTCTATGAAGTTAGAATAAAAGTTTACTTTATCAACTTTTCAGTTCAACAAATATTATGACCTTTAAGGATGTTCATGAATTTAGAGGTTGTATTCAGTAATAGTCAAGATATTTGTAGAAGTTCCTGATCGAATTTCATTGATCATCCTCTAGGAAATCTAACAATATTGAGAAAGAAAAGCCTGCTCTTAAAAGGAAAATTAGTATGTCCAACTTACCATCTGTAAATGGCTTGCGACAACATTTAAGGCCCGCTTGTTTTTACACACACAAGCTAAGGCCTGTTTGGTTTTCCAAACCGTGGCCTATAGAAAGGAAGTGTTGTTTCATCTCCATGGAAAGGTGATGGTGGCATGGTGCCATGCTACCAGTTAACATTTACTTTTTCTAATCTTATTTATAAATTATTTTTAATATTTTTATCAAAATCAAAAAAAAATTTACATCTCATTAACTTATCTAAAATCCAACAAGTTTTCAACTCTATTTCTATTAAATATGCCTACTCTAAAAATAAAATATTTTAGCATTTAATAATTTTCCTAATATTGAGTAGGGATAAAAGAGTAAAGATAAATATAATAATTATTGAAATGCCTTGTCAATAGAATCAAAATAAATCTTCTCTTTTTATCTTATAAATAGAATCAGAGGAGTACATGAAAGTGTTATGAGGATTCCTTTGATAATTTGATGGAATGAAGATTCCCGGAAAAGAAGTGAAAATCACTAACCCCCCTGTTTGGTTCACCAAAGAGGAAGGGGGGAGGCATTTTAAATTTTAATAGAGGTATCTTATTTGATTTAAGAGAAGAGGGGAGAGAAAATAATACAAGTTACCCATTGTTAGTTAATTCTAGACCAAAATATAAGACATTAATAATTAATTCACGATTCTCAAAAAAATATTAGTCAAAATCATAATTTCTTAAAAAAATGTACATCTTTTCAATTTTACAATCATTAAATACTCTTTGTAAGTACTTCAATAATGATAATTAAAATTTTAATACATTATTTTTTAAAAAATAGTAATAAATAAAATGAGGGTATAATTACAAAAATAATTATAAAAGTTACCCAATGTCCTATATTTTAGATCAAACAAGACTCCTAAAAATAGGAAGAAGTAGTACTTAGACTGTAAAACTCTTATCATTGTATTTGGTTTTTATTTTCATTTTTTAATAAATATAATAATTATATTGCAATTAATTTTTATTTTTAAGATAACTTAACATTCTCACTTACATAATTAAACAAATATAATATATTATTCATAAAAATTATTTAAATGACATCATGAACTAACAAAAAAAATCCAAAATTCAAATGTAGAATTTCTTACTAAAAATGTAAAACGCATTATATTATTGTGCAGTTTAAAAGCACGTAACAATAAAATAAAATAAAATAAACTTGATTTTAAACTTGTTATTTTCATGAACCAGATACCAGACTAGGTGAACCACCATTCCAAGCCAAATGAGAAAGAGAGAAGGAGCGACCGGAAACGGTAAGGGCATCTTTTCTTAGCGTTGCAAGGCGGGAGCTCTAACAAAAAGATGGATATGTGTACGCGCGCGCGCTGCTCAATCTAACGCTGTTTATGTGAATTGATTGGTGGATGGCGGATTCATTCATATAGAGATTCTGATGAATAAATCAACCACAATATATAATATCTATACAAAGTAAAATACCACAAGCCTTGAGAAATTAGATTAATGAAATCTTGGAGACAGATAAGTAACAACAAAGTATAAAGAGGGTAGAACCTGACTAGATGGCAAGATGATACTAATAGCAATAACTATTATCAAAATAGCGATGACAAGCTTTATAGTCAATCCCTGTAGTTATAGTAGAGGCAGTCCCAATGAGGTTTTTTTTTTTTTTTGGGTTAATTAAGTGTAATGATAATTTAGCAGGGAACTTTTGGCGCCTTCTATATATTTGATTGTTTTATGGGCAATGTTGGGATAACAAAAATTCATGAAGTTATTTTAGTCATTCTAAAATATATTTGCAGCTTCCCTCCAAATTTCCCCACTATTGGAGGGAAAAGGGAGGAAAAATTCATTAAAATTTTTCTCTCCTTCACTTTTTTGAACCAAACAAGGGAGGGTGGCAAAATCCCTCCTCTCTTCTAAATCCCTCCAGCCCAAAAAAAGATTACATAAAATGAATAAATTACTTTTAAGTTTCACATACCATATTTGTAACTATGTTTTATCTATAATCACCAAAATACACTTATTATATTTCTTTAAAGAAAAAAAAAACTACCACATAAATCACCATTGTGTTGATTTTTTAGAAAAAAAGTAGGGTAAGGATATTTTAGTAATTATATATATAACATATTTAGAAATAAAAAAATTTGGGACTTAAGAGAAATTTAGGCATTTTATGGGATTAGAAACTCTTATATCCTATTTGGTATGCTGAGAATGGTTTCCATAGAATTGGAAGTGGATATGAAAGTAGAGATGGACATGGCATTTAAAAATGTGTTTGGTATTTTTATGGAATTGAGGAACTTTTTATTCAATATTAATTTTTAAAATATGAAAAGACTAAAATGTCCTCATCACACAAAAAATGCTCCTACCCACATATTAGAGAACGGACCACCACGAGCCACTGAAACATGAAATCAAAGATCCAACCAAAACGAGCAATTGTGAAGAAGATAAAATCAAAAAAGGTAGTAGAGGTAAAGTCAACAATCTACAAACCATATATCAATTGCAATACACAAAAGTAGAAGAAGATAAAATTTACGATTGATATTCAAAAAGATGCAATGAAGAAGAATAAGAAGAAATGCGTTCATTTGCTCCACTATTTCAACATCAAAGAAGGGACACTCCATGTAACCCACATCAAAGTAGAAATCTTCTGCCATATTCAAAAATGATGACCCTGATCTAAGACTCATATTGAAGCAGTCTTGCTCTAAATCTCCTTCAATTTTGCTTTGATTCTTAGTCTCTACAAATCGGAGGTTGGAGCATGAGTCACCTTCAAGCTTTAGCCATAAAATCAAAGGTTGTTGTCACTAGAAGAGAAAGAGTCACTGTCAATTTCCACCATTGATGGAGGTTGCTATTGCTAGAGGTCACTAGCAATTGCTATCTCAAAGTCAGAGGTTGATGTCGCTAGGTGCTAGAGGTTGTTGTCACTAGGGAAGGGAGGTCATTGGAATTTGAAAAATTGGGGTCACTGGATGTAACATCCTAGAATTTAACTCTTGAATTATTAAGGAATTAATCAAGTTTAATTATAGTAATCGAGTGATTTGATGTCGTGTGTGGCCCAAGAGGTCTAATAAATATAATTGGTTGTGACTTCAGCCCCAATTATGGGTCTAAACCGAAGGCAGGCGTGTAGCATGTCCACTGTGATACACAGATGATAACTAAAGGAAAAGGGCCTCTTTGTGCCATGCGTTGCAGCACGTGCTAAGTACACCATGGTGCATTGCCCCTTTCTATAGAATTTAGTCACGAATAGACAAAAAAGGGAGAAAATGAAAAGCAAGCAAAGAGCTTTGCTAAGGTTTACCACGTTGATAGTTTGGAAGTATTTTGATAATAGAAAACACCTGAGGTAAGTGTCCTTCACCCTAATCTTCCATTCTCTGCCATTTTCTTAAAGTTTCTAGTAAGGGTTTGATAATGAAAAATGATTTTCCTTCCATATAAATCATGGGTCTAAACCTATTA